ACCTATTTGGGGGTAATGCAAGGGAGATGACTGATCTCAGCAGCATTAGGCTAATTAAAAACCTGATTTTTGAAACAGTCTGGTCATGATGGTATAGAAATGGTAGAATTAGATCCTTCACAAAAAAAAAGCACTGTCCATGTCTCAGTGGTTTTAAAATAAAAATTCAGCTGCTACCCTTTTTTTTTCATTTTACTGGCATTTTTCAGACAGCATTGTCTGTATCTTTTTTTCATTTTACTGGCATTTTTTCAGACAGCATTGTCTGTATCTTTTTAAAGTGGAAATTTTAAATGGAAATGCTTCACCCCATGCTTAATCCATATACTTATTGTGGTATTTAATAGAGTTGTACAGTTAAAGCTGTTGATTCAGGAAAATATGTTCTAATTCTATTTGACCTCACATTATTTGAAGTAATAGAGATTGAAGGACCTAGTTTTTCTAAAATTTAAGAAATTAGACCTTTGGAGTCAACAAGGACAGCATGAGTGACAATGATCATGCTTAGTAAGGATAGAGGAATCAGTTAACAGATAATCTATCGTTGCAAGGATTATGCAAAGAATTTGTTGTTTGACAGTTTGACATCAAGATTTGTTTGGCTTAAAGGAATTTTTGGAGGCGATACCCTCATGTCAACTTGCAAATTTATAGAACAGCCAGCATAGTTCTGATTTTGTCCGTGTCACTTCCGAGTAGCTTTGTTAGGATGTCTCGTGTTGAGCAGGATAAATTTGACAAGCACCAATTTGTGAAGATACATTAATAGGATTTTCTCTAATCAGGAAAAACAATGCCAAAATCAATGCTATAAAACCCTTAACACACTGAAAAGGATTCCAACTTATGCCATCCAAGTTCAAATTAAGTGGTAAAATAAATTGGGATAGAGAAGTGGGTTAAGAGGACAAATTTTTATTCTGTACTTGATTGTGTGAGGAAATTAATTGGATAAAGCCCAGTAAATCACTGTCCATAATGTTCCACAATTAATAAATACTGTGTGACTCATAGCGATCTTCTCATTTACAGTGGTACTAATTTCACTGACGTTGGTGGAATAATTCCTGATGCACATGAGAAGGCTTTGATGGAGTTGATAACAAGGCAGGTATAGCTATTTTCTTGCTTGCTGCTCTTCTGCTACTCTTTGTACTGCATTGTCGAGTGTGCTGGAAAGGAGTGAGAAAAGCCAAGTATTGAATTTGATTTTACAGAATGTTAGCTAGAGCATTTAATATATTCTTGTGTTGGAGGTGTTTTGTATACATCACAGTAAAACTCTTCTACAGCCTCCTCTGATGTTACTTCTTTTTTACCACACTATGATTTTGCCCCTTGCTCAGCCTATGATCTGCTGGAGCCCAGAAGTCAGTTTTTCTTTTGTGGCAGGAGGAAAAAGGATGGACTGGGAGGTCAGACATGTCACTAGCCATAGCTGGCTTGAGGTTTTGATGAAACAGATGTTCTGAATTTCTTTGGAAAAGTTCCTCGATCTGACCCTTGTTGCAGTGTTGTCTTTGGAATGGGAATATCTCTTTCATACAGTCCAGGGACTTTTTAAGGATAAAACACTAAGGATTGGAAAGCAATCAAATATTGTGGAGTTATATGCCATGATAGTTTCACTGCTTGCTGGATTATGAATTTCATCCAGTATGGCACTTCGTTTCCTTTTCTTTTCCTTTTGTTATGATGAAGCCTGTGCATAAAGCTGACAAAGAGGAATCATATGCATACTTACCACACCAATTTTTAACTATGTGTGTTGGAACTAGGAACTAACTACTGAGGATGATAACACAGCTATATCTCACAGTGGGGAGGATGTAGGAAATATCTGCTCTGGTAAGCCTCTGGCATCCTTCAGAAAGAAGAATGAAAGAAGGTAAAAATTTGTTTATATAAATATATATAGATATATATATGTGTGTGTATGTATATATTTAATAAAACATGAAGGAAGGAAGAAAAATTATATCAACCTGCTGTTTCTCAGGCAGAAGCAGTAGCGCCATCCTTTTCCATTATTCCATAATGCAGATTTCTGTGATAGACAGTCCGGCAGGCAGCAGCAGCCTTCTCTTAGACAACAGACATAGCGAAACTGTCTACTTTAGATAGGTTTATAAATCTCCTTGAGTAGCAAAAATGTAATTACATTTTTCCTGTCTGGAAAAAGGTATAGTTACACAGGCACCTTGCAGATGCTAGGATTAGAAGAGGGTACAGCGACTTCCCACAGCAAGCTTGTGCTGAGGAGAGGAGCCTACTTGTCCCTTCTTTTCTTACATCACCTGAGAGTCCGGGAGCTAAAGGTAGAAAAACTCAACACAATATCTTCAGAGATCAGAGTTAATTTTTTTAAGGGGGGGGGGCTATCATCCAATTGAAAATCCAAGTGTGCGTTTGCTCTGGTTTGTTTCAGCAAGTGTGCCTGGGGATCCTGAACTACCTGAGGTCCATGGAGAGAAGCCTGACCATCAGTGCCGCTGGACTCTCCTCCAAGGCTGGTCACCTAATTCCCAGCGCAGAAGACACCTCCTGGGTCCGTGCTGCCAAAGGAGGCACTGGTGGTTTTGGTGGCCTGAGTTCACAGCCATATATTGACTATACGCCAGCTGACTACAAGGTGAGGTACCACCGAGCCTTTAGTCTTCCAAAATGTGTGCTTCACCAGGGTTCCTAATCCAGCTCTCTTCCGTGCAAGCCAAATTGTGACCAATTGCTGAATCATCTGAGGGATTCGGTGTAGCTTGTTCCTCAGAACCATGTGTCTCACTTTAACAGTCTAAATACCTGCAGCTACCTGTGGTCTGTAGCAAACATCTGAGAAACTTCAGGCATGTAGAAGTATTATTTCAACACTGCCTGACAGATAAACATTTATTTACACTGGTGCTGCTGGCTGTGCTTGAACTACCACCTTTGTTAAGTGTGGGATTATCACACAGAGTAGATGTCCCTGAGAAATCTGAAGCATTTTGCAATTTATGGAAATGCTTGTTTAAGTAACTCCTAATGACTTCTCAAATGTATTATTTAGGTATTATCTAGGTAGAGTTTAGGACTTACTGGTTTTTAACCTTGGATGAGGGCACGTGGCTGAAGCGATATAATTCATACAGCTAGCTTCACAGATTGGAAAAATAAAAAATTGAATTAAATTCCTAAGGCTTATCAAACTTTGGTTTTCACAACTTTTTTTGTAAAATATATTGAACAGAATCAAGATGTTATGCTAACATGAATGGTTTGATGTGGTATAATATTTTGTCTTTTGAGCTGTAGAATTTCCTTGCAGCTCTGCTACCTAACACTCATCCCAGAGTTGTTATGAAAGCCTGAAGAAACACAATAGTATTTTAATATGAGTTTTTTCAATAGTTGGAGCTTATATATATTTCTCAGTTACTGAAGACTTGTTTGTTTGGGGTTTGGGGTTTTTTTGCTGTAGAAACACACAGAATCAAACATACAAGCCACATCACAGAGGAATTGTGGCTAGAACCAAAAAGGAAGTAGGCTTCCTGCCCCCATTTGTTGCTTATGTTAAGACTTCAACCCCTCCCCCATCCCCAAGAAAAACAAGGACCAGAAGAATTTTAGTGTCCTTAAGCATAAAAAAATCTAGTCATCTTTGAAAATAAAATGTGTGGAGAGGACAGGGAGTTGATGATATTTAAGGTATCTTAATTTTATTATGGTATCTTATGAAGGTATCTTTAGTTTTATTTCTAATATGGCCACATTTATAATCAATTAAAATTCCAAAATGAAAAGCTACTTGGAACTAGAAAATTGTGATTTTCCACTTAAGAAATGTTGTACTGAGCGGTCCAGCATCTTTGATTTTTCAAGTCAGAAAAAGTAATTTAAAAACTTCTGTTTTCCAATGGGAGGTGTCAGTTTTCCCAGAAGAGAGAGCCCCTATCAATGAGAGAGACATTATTTCCCAGTGGCCTCTCTTTCCCCTGGACTAATACATGGATATGGATATATACACTTGAACTTCAACTAAAGCCTAGCTAAATATTTACTAATCTTATTATAGTTTAATTGGCAACAAATTTAGAAGCAGAGGCAACAGTATTTCCTTAACAACAGTTTCTAATGTGGGTTTGCTTTTTTTTTAATGTAATACACAGACTGTCTCCTTAAGAACTGAAACAATAATAGAGACATTTTACTGGCAAACTAAATGAGACCTATCTAACATGCTTACTGACGTGTGCTATAAACCCAAATTGTATGGCATTGTTTTTAAAATACTTTTAGCATCTAATCTATGCCAATTGGAGGAGTACCTATGTTATGAATCCTTCCACATTGTAAGCTGTGAGCCCATGTGATGGTTTAACTCACAATGTATCCAAAACTGAAATTCTGAGGTGGTTTTGCAGCCTTCCTTGCAGATTACTTGAGATGGAGATGATCACAGGCATGAGTTTCAATGACAGAAGGGCCTGTAAAACAGTAAATTACATTAAACTAGAACTCTTTCTGTCCCCTGTTGAGATTCAGCTTGGAAGAAAGTAGATAAAATATATGTAGGTGTATGAGGGTTGCTTTGTAACCCAAAAGGGATTTGTTTAGCCCCAGTAAACCTGAGCAGAGCTAGAGGAGGAAAGCCAAAACCTGCACACAAAAAACATTGTACATCCATAAGGATGTTTAAAACACAACTAAAAACCCCTTCTACCTGCTATGGTGAAGTCAGCACAGTATTTGCTCAGTTATTTACCTAAATCAAGTTGAATTTAATTTTTCTATGAAGGGCTTTGATTTAACCTTTAGAAAACTCCGCACCCCATCACTAAGACTGGTGAAACAAATAGTCTATTCAGAAGAAAAAGGAAAGAACAGAGAGTGCAGAACACTGTATTGAAAAAAGGGAAAGAATCTGACAAGGCTGATCCAACATTATGTTCAAATTAGGTGTATATTTTGCAGGGCTGTCTCATTAACTTTATGGTAAAGAATGAACCCTGATCCAGCATAGATCTGCAAAGCTGGCATGCGGTTCATCCCAATATATTTAAAATTGACTAAGGTTTCGATGACTAAAGCAAATACCTTTTCCTTTCCTTCATCATTTCTTTTAATAGAATTTGAGACATCCAGGTGCTAGCAGGTAAAGTTTGGGTAGCATTGGGGATCTTGTAAACATAGATGTTAGGAGAGCCAGCGAAAGGAGGAAGTCCCAATGCATTGTGGATCATTATTTGTCACTGAAGTGAGAGCAAAGGTGCATTACATACCAGGAAATAGTGAAAACAAACAGTGGAAAAGGAGGAGCTTGTATTTGCTTGCTGGCTGCTTACAAGAACTATTTTTAAAGGCTTCTATGGCTATACCCCTATACCAGGTGTTTATTCACACTGGGAGATTAACTTCTGCGATTATACACCTATAGATAGATGTATGTAATACCCTTTGTGGCACTCCTAGTCAAGAAACAGAATATTTTGAAAGCTAAAGCCACTTGTGCTGACTGCAGTACTGGATTCTTGCCTGGGGTGTTAACAAGCCACCTAGTGACTCACTGCCAAGGTAGATAATTCTCTTTTAAAGATGCTGATGGGTTTTTTTAGAAAAGTAAGGTCATTGTCAAACTATTCTATTCAACCAGTGCTGATGTCACAGCAATTTGGGGCATCAGTCAACGGGATTCCTTTTAATTAGAGCTAAAATCTTTGTGAGTTTATCTCCAAATCTTACCTAGGAAGGCTTTAAAAAATACGTTGACTTTGTATTTGTATTTGAATATCAGAATTTAAGACACTTTTTGCCAAATCTGAGCTAAATTAGAAAAAGGAAAAGAAGTTCTACCTTAGTTCCAGTGCTAATCTTCTCATTTTGATGCCTTCTTGGTGCTTTTTGTGGCTTTATATGCCTGAAGGAAAAACTAGGCACAATAGAAATTTCATGCAGTTTGTGTTACTCCATGATAGTATAAATGAAGTCACAGTGTAGGTGTTACTTGTAAAAAATAATATTTTGGCAATATTTTATTTTATTGTTCTTTGCTAGAAACAAAATACTGTGTTCCTAGGCCAGGTCCACCCTTAGATACGTTGATTTTACAGAATTGCAGTCCTTGCAGAGCTGGCTCTGTGTATCTCTGCATCTCTTTTTCACGGCGTAGGTCCACAGTACTCAGTTCATGGAGTTTGCAGAGGTAGAAAACCATGATGACTTTCACACTAGCGAGGATGGATATATTCACACACAGGACCAGCGAGGGTTTTACATAATATATGATGTGGCTTTAGAGGACCTGAAGGAACCTGAGAACCAGCTGCTGCTTGTGGCCAGCCAGTACCTTGAGAAAGATAAAAGTAAGATATCTACGGGTCTGAAGAACCTGTGATAATTTGGTTTGGTGTTTCATGGTAGGTCAAACCTATGATTTCTTGAATCGTTACTATACTTCTGCAAGAACAAGTGCTGACTGGATTTTCGGGACCTTTCTGTATCCTTCTGTTTAGCTAAGTGATGAATGTGTTACAAATCCTCAACTGAGCATGTGGAGTTCCTTGTCACATGTTGTTAATGTCACAGTTTTGCACTTACTCAGGGTCATAGACATCAAAGTCATCCTGGAGGCGAAAATAAGACAGAAAGGACATTTACTGATGTAGTTAAGTAATATAATAAGCAAGCACATCTTCAAGGCACAGAGAGAGAGATAGAAAAGAAAAATGTTAATTGCTTCTGGATGTCTTTTAATTAATGTATTGGACTGCTTTTCTGCAGAATTAATTTTACCTCCCACCACTTTTAAACTTTTCTCACTTGTTAAGTAAGAAGCTGCAAAATATTTGATGTTCCAGACTTCCTTTTTTTCCTGCTGCTTTGTTTTATATAGGAACTGACTTGAGACAGACTGTATTACAGATTTCTAAAAAGAGCAGCTGTACTTCTAGAATAGTGAGGAGGAAGAAGCCTGTAATTGTAGAAAGCATGGGGGAAGGGCCACTAGAAAACAGTGAATAAATGGCACAAACACGCGTGATATTCAGATAATTGCACAAAATATCTCTTAAATCACTGGAATGACTTTCTATATTGATTGGATAATGTCTTTGATGATTTGGCATGCTTCCTTAAATTTAATTTCTGACAGAGAATGCAGAGAATGACCAAAAACCTTTACAAATCTGTGAATGCCTAAATGCCTGCTAGGACCTTCTCTGAAGTCACCTGAAGGTGCTCATTGTGGACTTTCTTCTGGACCATCTTCTGTATGAGGAGAGGCTGAGAGAACTGGGACTGTTCTTCCCAGAAGAAGCTCGGGAGGGATCTAATCAGTGTGTACACATACCTGATCGGAGGGAATGAAGAAGAGGGAGCCAGGCTCTTTGCAGTGGTCCCCACTGACAGGACCAGAGGCAATGGGCACAAACCGAAACCCATTAAATTCCATCTGAACTCAAGAAATCACATTTTTACTGTGAGGGTGGTCAAACACTGGCACAGGTTGCCCAGAGAAGTTGTGGAGTCTTTATCTGTGGAGATACTCAAAATCTGACTGGAGACAGTCCTGGGCAACCCACCCTAGGTGACCCTGTTCGGGAGCAGAGGGTTGGGCTGGATGACCTCCAGGGATCAACCTCAACCATTCTGTGATTCTGTAATTTCAGGAGGCAGACTACTGAATGTGGCAGAGTACTCTGGTAGCCTGGTATAGCAGTTCCTGTGTCTATAGGTCACTTCATTAGCATCCTCACACAGTGCACTTTAGGACTGATCATATACAACCTGTCCTGGCTCCTTATGCTCCCTCTTGTTATGGTCTCTTTCTGTGTGCCATGAACCCAAATGCTGTTAATGCTGGCTTTTCCAGTGATTACAGACTTCAAATGACTCTCTTGTTCAGCTTTTGAAAAATAAGACACTTAAAAGTCTGGAGCTGAAGAGTAGCTGCTGAAGCCTCTTCTAAGAATGCCATGGCTGATTTTTAACTCTGCAGCTCTAAACAGTTCAGATTCACTCTACTTGATCTATCATTTATTGCCAAAATTAGCTCTAATTTAGATAGTACCACAACCAAGAAACCAAAAGCAGGATTTCTTTAAGGATTTCTCATGGGATGCTAGTGTAGAAATATTTGTAGTGATATTTTTATTTCCTTCACAGTCATTTTTAAATTATGAAGACTGACTTTTGTAATAGCAAGCCATCTGAAAAGAAAGCTCTCCCCTGGGACTGCACTCTGTCCTGCTATGCCTCTCTGTAAAATTTATCTTTGAGCAGTCCATGCATCTTTTCTTTGATCTGAGAGTGCAGGTGAGGAGGTGAAGCCACCCCCAACATGATCTGGTGCTGTGAAAAAATTAAGATTCTCTTCTCTTTCCTTCTCTATTTTTCTTGTGCTTTCTCTGGCTTTATCTCTTGATGTGGTTCTTTTGAAGTCCGACCATTGCCCTCTTTACCTCAAGGAATATTTGCTAAAAGATGAAGAAAGAGATATGTTTAAACCAAATGCCCAGTATGCTTGTTCTTTGCCTTGCAGGATACTCTGGGGCTCTCCAAAGCTTATGGAACATTTCCTGGCCTTGGGTTCCCTGGTAAGCACAACCCACAACCCTGTGCTTTAAATAAAAAGAATTACCACAACCCTGGGACTCTAGGCATATGAAAATCCCTCTGATAGTGGCATCTGCTTGTTTTCTACTTATTTTTTTCTGTCTTAGGCAATGTAACTTCTGAGCAATTCAGTGTCCGCAACATCCTTGGCTGTGCACATGCCTCTGTGGATCGACTTGCTGTGCTGCTTGACCTCTGGACCTGTGAAACTGTTCTCTTGGAAAAAAAATGCCAGGTACAGAAGCTTTTCTTGGGCTGAAAACAGTGATTTACAATCAGTTCACTTCAGGTTGTGTAAGGTTCCTTTTCAACAGCATTCCCTGTTGAGTGTACACGGGGATGCCAGAGCCAGCAATGGTGGGTGGTGGTATGGGTTTTGGATGCATTGGGAACCTGGTGCTGGGCTGGGCTGGGTGCAGAGGGCTGGAGCTGCTGGGTTCTGTGAGTTGGGTCCAAAGGACCACATGTAATGGCTTTTGCAACAAGGGAGCAGAAATGCTCTTGTTGTCAGACAACAGCCTCTGTAGCTGCTGTGCCAGGGGCTGGAAGCACTTCTGCAAGGCCTTATGGAGAGTCACCCACCACTGGATAATTGGGAAGGATAACTGGGAATGACAAGGCCATCTGCAGAGGAAAACTGCAGAGCATGTTGTGTCCCTCCTTGCATGCCAGGGAATGGAGCAAATGCAGACTAGGAAGATTCAGGTCCAGCTCTGAGGAGAATGAGCCACAAGGAAGTCCAAGGTGCAGATCTTTTTCTGTGGTCCTGGCTGTCCCTGCTTCCTGGGGCTGGTGCAGGAAACTTTTTATGGTTGTCATTAGAACTATAATTGTTGTGTGTTTGTGAAGCCCAGGGAGGAGAGATGCTAGCCCCATAATTTGGATTACTCTTTGTCAGAGAGAACCAGAGAGATATTTTGTATGTTACAGCATAAAACCCAATCAATTTATTAATAAAACCTATATATATGATTTAGTATATACTATAAACTTATTTCTTAGTTAGTTAATCTATTTGAGAAAAAAAAGGTATACTTTATTATGGAGTGAAAAAAACCCAACAAACAAACCAACACTAAAAATGTGTATTAAGTGATTTGTAGCTTTGCCATTCACAAGGGCTGCTGCATATCCTGTGGGCTTTCCCCTTCCTCTCTCTGAATCTAGTCATGTGTCTGTATTTTGCCATGAGACATGAAAGCATAAAGGGTTTCTGCCCAAAGACTTCAGTCTTGAAAGATGAAGAGTAGACAAATTCAGAGGAAGGGACCCAGAGGAGCTTGGAAGTGTATTTCTGTCCATGGGACTCACCAGTCCCAAGGACAATGCTGTGAGTGTCAGGAAGCAGAAAGGAGCAGATAGTCCACTTCAGAAGCAAGGAGAAATGGCTCTAACTGAGTTTGACTTGACATGCTTCAAAAGTTTTGGTCTCAGTCCTGGAGTAACCCAGGGAAGCTCTCAAAATAGGAATGCTAGAGGGTGTTAGGGAATCTCCTGTGTACCATTGAAGAGGCTTTAAATAGAAAACCTTTTAAAATAAAATAGTTGTATGTAGTTTAGGAAATCTCCTGAGACCAATCTCCCATTTTCACAGAGGTTCTTTGTGTTACAGAGCTATATAAAATACTATCTAATTGCCTAGTTCACTAAGTTTCTGCTCTCATCCCAACAGACTTTGCTTTCCATTGCTGTTATGACCATGCTACCTTTGTGAATCTACCTTTTATTTTATCACGGGGCCTCTGTATAAGGAAACTTGCTTTCTTTTTGGTAAAAAAGCTCCCACTAGAGAAGACTGAAACCTCCACAGCAGCAATACACTAATTCTCTTCTAAAACCATCAAAGAGTATATTCTGGAACTACTCTCACAAGCCAACTCTCCGGGCAGGATTAAATGTACAGATGTGCTGTTGCTGGAGGTCTTTCGCTTTTAGCTGAAATGAAATCGAATTGGGTCTCACTGGTTTTGTTTCCAGCTGGGACAGAGTTCTTTCTAAATGAGGAAGCAATAGCACTTTGTCCAGCAGCTGAGACAGCTTAGCTTAGCCAATACAAAACAAGCTAATGACCTGTTGCTCAAGCACTGTCTTAGGTTCCTCCAGAACAGTTCAAGTCAGACAAGTCTAAACCAGAGAACTTGACTGTTGGGATCCGAATTCTCAGCTACTGAGTTACTTCCTAAGCCCTTCTGCATCTTCCTCTTCCGCAGTCTGGTCTCAGTACAGAAAGTAATGTTGATGCTTTTCTACTTTCATGTCAATGCAAAATAGCCCGATTTAGACAATTTCATATTGACATGACAATTTGTCCAGAAGCAAGAGCACTGGATGCTCATGTTTTCAATCTCCTAATTGCCATCTGACCAAAAAGTACTACAATGTCATCTCAAGAGTTCATGTGCTGTCATGCTTGGCACATTTCTTTCTGTATCCTAAGCTGCGGGTATGTGTAATTAAAATTTTTGTTTTAAAAAAACTTTACAGTTATTCTTGGTAGAGGAGCCTGAAGAGGGCATGTGCCTTTGTACATCTTTAATTACATCTTCAATTAATTTGGAGTTTCTCCAAAAAATGTAGAGTAACTGTGACAGTTATTGCCAAATGAGATAACAGAGAGTCTTGGATGAGTCTGCAGGTTTCAGGCTGGGGGAAACGGAGTTCTTCAAAGATATGAAACCAGTGTGTGTGCTGCAAAAGAAACAGAGAATGGATTAGATGTGGAAAGAAGTAGGTGTTTTTAAAGTAGTAAGTACATTGCTGTGTTACTTTTTTAAAGGACAAATGTGTAGAATAAAACATCTTCATGCTTCAGTGAAAAAAAAATGTTAACAATGCAAGATATGGAAGAAATTTCTCCTGTGGGCGATTTATTCTGTGTCCTGATCTTGAGCCTCCAGATGAAGCATCCAGTACTACTGGAAACAAGATGCCATATTGGCTCACTCTTGGTTTGATACAGGTGGCAAACTCCGTGTTCAGAAATTTCTCCCCAACAATAGGTGAATAAACATTTCTAAATGTGCTTCTGAATATCACTTCAGCTTCCAGATATTTACTTTGAAGCATGCCAACATGCTTTGGATCCAGAGGAAAGATTTGCTTTGGCCCAAGCGATGACTGACATCACGCATAAACATCCATGGTTTGATCTCAAGCTTGAATATTTTGTCAGCACCTACAAAGGTGAATGCATCTGTTTGCAACTTCACTTCCAACTGCTGAGGGACATAGTAAACCAATAAGTAGGTTAAATTTACAGTATATCCATCTTGGGCAAGTAGGAGGTGAAATCCAGAATGGGAAACTTTGATTATAGCCTGTGTGGGTTTACAGTGTTAAGATGGGTCAATGCTAATTTGAAAAAGAAGTCCATGCATGCTTTGTAAATTGGAGGCCTGAAGCTCAACAGCAAAAAGCTATAATTTCCTCAATATCAGAAATAAAATGTTGTCAAGACTGGAGAGCTTCATATGTCATGTTAAAGTCACATCTGCTCTTGTTCGAGAAAATTAGAAATAGTACTTGAGAGGTGTGGAAGCTAAATAAAATTATAATCTATTTTTTTCCTGTAATTCAGTGGATAAGGAACTAGTCCTGTTTAGAGTAAGAGGGAAGAGACTTTAAAGTGCAAACAAAGTTTGTACTTTAAAGTGCGCTTTGAGAAGCGGTATATTTCAGATAGCTGTGAATTCCTGTGCTAATAATTAAAACACGATATTTGAAATACTCACATTTTTCCTCTGGCTTAAAAATCTGCCTCAGCTTTCCTCTGTATCCTGCCACAAGATATGTCCTTTCTCTGTGCTTTGATTTCAGAGGCTACATGTTGGGAAGTTTAGTTAACCAACCTTTGTAACTTGGTTTTTAGTCCACAAACGGAAGTTTGGGTTTCAGTACCAGAGGCAATTTGTCATGCTGCTGTTGCCATCGATGCTACCGTATTGCTAGCAATAAAAATGGACTGTTGACATCATTGTTGGAGCTCAAATTTTGTTCTGAAGCAGTATGAAAGGTTCAAAGTAATATTAGCAGGAGTAATTCATCTAGAGTGGGAACAAATATAATTGACTTGAAAATTTTTATATATAATTATAAATTTTTGCAGCTTATGTTTAAATAAAGAAAAGTTGGTTTTGCCTTGATTTCTAGCTATGTTTGAATTTTATTGGCTAATGTCACTTGTGTTTATTGCTGAGTTTTAGATAGATGCCCAGAGGGAATACCTCCACAAGATTTGTCAGGAAGGTCAGACAGGTGGCTTTGGTCAATTTGGACTTCTTTATAATGTGATTACTAAGCAGCTTATCTCTCTTAACACTAGCCGGTGAGTAACTATACAGTTGTATTTTCCTGGAGAGTAACTCTTTCTGTTCTTGTTTCTGTGATTGTAAAAATTTGGGATCGAGCACCTGAAAATAGTACTACCTGAAAAAACTAGAGTCTTAAGGTGAATCAAGCCGTAGATAAATGTCTCATGCTATTGAGATAGCCAGAAAAACTGTTAAGGAACAAAAGTGATTCCTCCCCCACTGCCTTTGCACTGCACTTTCATGGCAACGGATTTGATAATTGCATCTTGCAGTGCACTGGGATATTAATATTCCCATGGGTACAGGTTATTAAACAGAAATTAAGCAAGTGGGTACGGAGGTTAGCCTCGCTTTAGGCTCTCTGCATCGGTATCCTGACGTGGCTTTACAACTTTCACTGCCCTTTGGTCACAGCCTATTACTCTTCTGAGCACAACTGCCCAGCTGGATGCACGTGTACTGTGCTTTCACACATGGAATCCACTCACTACCTGCAGCGCAGACCTGCCCCATGTTCCCCATCCTGCAGCTGTGCAGCACTGTGGGTTATGCAAAGGGTTTACACAGCAGCTAATATACACCCAGAAGCCAAGACCCCCTTGCCTCTGGTCCCTTCCAGTTTTCTGCCTCTCTTTCAAGCCCCTTCACACATTTTGATCTAGTGTTGCTTATCTGAGGGCTTATTTTTAAGTGCAGACAGTTTTAATGGGCAGGCATAACAGACATGAAAATGCAGTTAATAAAACGTCAGCTAACAAATGATAATTTTAAACATTTTTTCTTTTCATTAGCAAATTAAACTACTTAGATGTGTTCCAACACAATTACATTTATTAAGGCTTCAGTTCTATTTTTATATTTGATGATTGATTTCTGATGTGCACTAAAGCCATTGCAACTTATTCTTGCAAATTAAGCAATTGCAAGGTTTCTTTGTATATACAATTCATAAAAGCCTTATCTGAGAACTATTTATTCTTTCTCTGTTTTTGTTGTTTTTAAGTCCTGCTTTGAAGAACATTTATTTGCTGGAGTTTCACCCTTCTCTTGGTCTGGTGTGCTTGATTCCCAAAGCTCTTGAGTATATCTGTCAGAAATTCTACAGCATCTGCAGACCAAAAACACCCAGTAAAGCAAGTAAGCTAGAAAAACAAGTACTTCAGCTAGTAGTTGATGAGTGGCTAACTAAGGAAAAAACAGAAACTTTTTACAGTTCTCAGATTCAAAAAGATGTAAGTTCCATTTTTATATTGGTAATGACTCTTTAAAGCAGAATGCCCAAGAGTGTGGTCTTGCTAGTTCATTTATGCTTGATGTTTTTAAAGCTCTAGCTATGTTACTATTAAATCAGTTATTTGCTTATGATTAGTGAAGATCCATTCCATCCATCTCTATGAGAATTTTTTTTTTTTTTCTGTAAATGAACACAGAAAGGTAGAACTCTCGATCCCATGCCAGTATAAAGTAGGAGCAATCAGCTTAATGAGAAGGAAAATACACACACTTAAAACTGACATGAGATCATGGTAAGTCTCCAGGTTTTGCCTTTGTGTGTGTGTACCGCCTGGAAATTAAAAAAAAAACCAAAAATGACTGGACATTAAAGCAAATATTATTATAGGTGGAGACAGTTATTACTGTAATGTCCACCATTTCCTGCTGTAGAACTCTGAATTTGGTTGGTGATAATATTGATAAATGCTAATTATTGTGAATGAAATTATTGATGCTGGATGTTCCTATCAGGTTAATTTTTTTTTTTTAACTAGTCAGCTTAGTTGTTGCTGAGAGCAAGAAATGGAAAATAAATTATTTTATCTGTGTTCTCTGCAAGATTGTAATACAGCTACACTTTGGAGCATACATTTCAAGTTTGGGAAGGCTCATAAGGTAGTGATACGCTATGCTTTCATTCCTGCCGAGTTTGGCCACCATAAACTAAACTGAAACATGCTATTGCAACATGCTTATTAGGAAGACATTATCTGAAGTTTCTGTGTGCCCTGGTACATCTATAACCTGAGGCAAAATCAGGCCTTTCCAACACAGTAGAAGCCCCTGTCTAAGTGATTCATGTTTGACTTGAGTCTGAGCATTGAAAGGGAATATGAGGAGCTGTTAGCCTGTACTGTCGCTGGCGGTGCCTTCACTGGAGGCAGCGCAGGAAGCTGGCTGAGCAGATTGCAGCGGTGATGAGGCAGCTCTGTTAGTGGACCAGGAGCTGGGCAGGAGTGCGGAGAAAAGGCAGCTGGCTTGGTAAGTGGGATGGCAGCCAGTAAATGGGAATGAAGATTGAGGTAGATGAAAAGCTGGGAGACAAAGACTAGGCCTACGACTCAGTGGGTTCCTTCATTTTGGAAAGAAAAGATAGGGGGGAAAAAGTGCACTGCGCCCTGGGGCTGGAGCGAGAAGGCACCTCGGGTAGGGGTGGAGGGTTGAGAATGGTTTGGTAAAGAGATTGGCTCAAGTTGCCCAAAGCCAGTGATGGCAGGACTTGCTAATCAAGGGAGTGGGAATGAGAATGAAAAGTTTGAGGCATGGAGACAGAACTGGTTAGATGAAGAGACCGTGAACACAGCAATGGGTAAGAAAGTATAGAGGCAAACTAAAGGCAGAAGGGCACAGCCACCTAAGGTACTCTCCTCCCTGGCCTAGAGCAAAGCACAAGAATTACTTATCCAGCATCTCTCTGCTGCCAATAAAATCCACTGGCAGTGTCCCATTACTCTCTTGTCCAGAGCAGACCACAAAAGATTCTTTGCTTTTTAAAAATTTAAATCCTAGAAGTCAGTGGTAGAGTTCTGTCATGGATCTTACCACGCTGCTGTTGCCAAGGGGGAAATGGAGGAGGCTGCTTGTGTTTACTTCTTGCCCATTCCTTTTCCTCCAATAGAAGCTGCAGATGAGACAAATGCACACAAGCAGGCAACATTTAGAAGACATTAAGGCTGTAAAAGCCCAGCATTTAAATTTCAGGAAATTTACCTTTGCTGGAGCAGATTTAATTTGATTTTCTTTCCCATAGGCATGACGATGCAGTCTTTATGTGACCACATATTGTTTTTCTTTATGACTTGGCATGCTAAAATCTACATTTCTGTCCTTCCTGGACTGCTCCTTTTGTAACACTGGACCTCATTCTTTCATGTTTTTTTAACCCTTCACTAAGGATGGTTTTACAAGATCCAATTTTAATTCCCCATCTGACTTCCTAAGCTTCTCTCAACTTCATAACAAACACGTTACCCAGGGGTGAGGTACAGATGCTGTCAGCCTGGGAATAGGTGCTTTTCCTGTGTAGAAATATCAGAGAGGCTGTATAAAAAGAAAAGTGAATTCTAGAATTATGAGACTAAAAGATGCCTGGGAAGCTGTGAGATCTCTCTTGCTCACCCCAAGCCAGGATCAGCTATATTCATATTATTCCTGTGAGATAAATAGCTGTCCTGTTCTAAAACACACTATGTGATAGACTTTTTCATGCAGTCTGTTACAGTGCTTTACCAGCTTCACCTTTAGAAAGTTCTCCTTCAAATCTAGCACAGGCGTGCCTTGCTACAGTCTCAGCTTCTTACATCTTCTCTTGTCCTCTTTGGAAATAGGGGAGATGCTATTCTCCTTGTAGTATCTCTGTGAAGAAGCACAAAAAGATGGGTTGTCCTGTCCCACCCATCCAGAGTCATAGAATTACAAAAGCACATTGTAAAGCATTGGGGAAGAGGGACAAAATAAAGTTGCACAACTTCTGACACTTAACTTTGGGGTGTTGTCTTTTAAAACTATTTTTTTTTCCCAGTGGGGCTGTGAAGAAGTAGTGAGTGGCGGGTGTTGAAACCTAGACTGTTATTGCTAATAAGCATATGTCAGGGTTCAGATTTCCTCATGATTCCTTCCCTGCTCATAAGCAGCAAAGCGTGAAGCCGCTCAGCTGCTCAGCTATGGCAGACATCTGCCCTGTCTGATGTGAGCAGGGTGGCACAGTTGTACAGGTTTGTGACAGCTAGAGACAAGGAGCATCTTCTCCCTCACACAGAGCCAGAAAAAAACACCGAGACCCAGGGGCAATCCCTCCTGCCACTTCCACAGCACAACATCCAGTGGACTATTGTCTTCTTTCCAGCTCTCCACATTACCAAGCTGCAGCTTTTGATGATTTTTCTTTCCTGGGGTTTCTGCTCTTTTGGAGGCTTCCACCATCCCAGTAGAAAAGGGGTTCAGCTCTGCTGAGTTAGCTGACGATATGAGTTTGCTGTCCCCAGTTTGGGAGCATCATATGTGCAGTGGCACATGTGCTGGGATCACAACACTCTTTAGAGGAGGTATGGCCTCAGCTAGTAATAAGTGAACCAAGTTGCAGAGCCCCTGCTTTAGAGAGGTATACACAACTGAAAACCTTCTGAATTTTTACTATAATAAAAAAGGCAAATATCCTGTGTTAGATACATATAAAAAAGTTAAATCCTTTGAATAAACCCAGGTTTATAGATTCAGTGTCTTCACCTTTGAAACAAGTGGCAAAACACCAGTGTATTTTTAGGGGTCAGGATAGGTCAGGGTGGGCACAATTCTGACCTTGCATGGGTTGCAAGTCAGAAGCAACTGCAATCATAATTTCCTCCAGAAAAAGAAAAAAGGAGAGTGGTCTCCTAAAATATTTAAAGACCTTTGTCCTCTGTATGTAAATGATTTATCTGTTTCCTCTATTTTTTTTCCTTTTCTTTGCAGTTTTTTGCCGAGGTACTGATAGAAGACCCTGTGCTGGTGCAAGAGATTGCTTTGTCACTGTTAGAGGTGTAAGCAGATGGAGAAAAAAAGACAGGCAGAAAAAAACAGCTCTTTATCCTGGATTCCTTCTCCATGCTCCTGGAGCTTGTCACACTCCACCATCGGCTGATGGAGGTGGCAACAGAAAGTGTGTTGTTAGCCAGGTTAGTGGTCAGCAGTGCTGCTTCAGCTTTGGAGACCTCAGAGACGAATGGTTTGTAGGGAAAAAAAAGTAACTTCTTTTAAATAGACCACCTAATAGATTTGGAAAAAAAAACCACAGAGAGAGAGTGAGTTGCCTGCATCTGTGTTGTGGGAGATATGTTTGCTTGTTATGTGGATATGGAGTCTACCTGGGGTTTGCAGATGTTCATTTGTTTCAAAAGTTGAGGCCACACTGCTCCTCAAAGCTTAACAGGAGAGGCCCTTTCCCAGGGAAAATGCTGAAAATTTGTCAAAAGGAGGAGGAGCAGGAGGAATTCATTGATTGAATGAACACAACGCTTCTGCAGAGTTTTGCACAGATTATTATTTTAACCACCTTCTTATGAAGAGTAGTTCAATATAAAAAAAGGCATACAAAAAATACAAGCTTTGTTCACCACCAGAGGTAAGAAAGCATAAATTGTTCTGGCTGTGCTGATCCTTGCTAAGATAATGAATTAATCTACACAAGGGATGTCAGTGACATGCATTTAGGGAGTTATCAGCTGCAGAAGATGACAATTTGTACAGGAAAACAAAGAAGATAAGGACTGAGTTAATGGGGAAACTACAAAGGATAGTGTTGATCTACTGGCTTGGAGGCAGGTTATTGGTGAAGTTCCTATTGTTCAGCTCCATATTACTTGACATTTTTATTAATGATCTCAGCAGAAAACATAAGAGGGTGTTATTAAAATCAGGACATTGTAGTGCAGGCAGATAAAACTGATACAGAAAATAAATGGAATTACAGGAAGAACTCATGGTTCTAAAGACTGGAGTAGTAGAAAGGAGATAAGCATCAATAATGCAAAGCTTAAGGTTACACATAATAATAGGAAATTCTCGTGTGAACTTTGAGCTTACTAGTTGAAAGCAACAAACAAGGAGAAAGAACTGGGTGTAGAGCTGGCTATTGGATGACTAAACTGCAAACATATTGCAATTGCGGGAGGGGGAAAGCCATGACATCTGACTGTGGATCAGGCAATGAGTTGTGTAACCAGTAGAGAGAGGGAGAACTGATGCCATGTATGTGATCCTGGTAAAGCTTCGCCTGGATTATTAAGTATAATTTGGAGATTTGTGTTCAGGCAAGATAAATTCAGATTAGAATGGGAGCAAAGATGATCTAATAGCATACTGAAGGGAAACAGAGAACGCATTTTACAAAAGCAAATGAAATATCTTGGCTTGTTTATCCTACCAAATGAAGCTTGAGAGGAGATAAGATTGTTCTCTATAAATACACCAGGAAGATAAGCACTGGGAATGGAGAGGACCTATTTAAGCTAAAGGCCAATTTTGGCAGCAGAACAAATGGATCTAATCACTGAGAATAAATTTAAGCTGGAAATTAAAAGGGCATTTCTAAGAATCAGACAACAAAGTTCTGGAAGGGAAAAGGGTAGAAGACTAACGGTATTAAAATGGGGCTTGATTAATTTATGAAAAGGATTTGTGGGACGTGATTGCTTGCAATACCAAAGTTGGGTGTGTAGGACAGACGACATTCCAGTCATGGTTTTTCTTTGTCTTAACCATTTCTCTAGCTTTCTTCTTAAAAATTTAGAGTCTGTATCAAAAAGTCGGAAGCATTTATTTACAGCAGCTGAAATCCTAGACATCTTTAAAGATATGTGAGCCATGACCATTCAGCTTCATTTGGTGGAAAACCCTTTTCTGTCACAACTCTTTTCCATTAAAATAAGAACATGTGGAACTGTAATTTGATATTTGGAACACTCCTGGGCAAACAAACAGGTTAATTTACTTCAACTGAAGCAATTCCATGAAGCAAGAAGGTCTCCTTTTCTTTCAATTTGTGTTTCCTGTTTGGACACTCAGCTTTCTAATAAAATACAGATTCTAGGTAAACTTCTTCTGCTGGTTGAATTATCTGTGTTCTTTCACTCATACACATACATAAATACACACACACACACACACACACATTTTCTGGTAATTAGTAAGAGGTAGGGTAGCTGAAAAATCAATATCCAATCACCTTTTTTTCATGAAAGCTGTAGGAACTTAATATCTTGAAAGCCCTGTCTCTGTGTCAGATTTCATTAATATTCACCAACTGATTTAAAAGTTATCCAGAGAAGACAGATGCGCAGGCTGCATCATCACATGCCTGCATTTCTTTCAGGAACAGGGCTCAGAGAACATTCTCATCTGGGGTGACATACTTAGAAATCCCTGAAAAATAGCAGTAAATTGTCATTTTCCAGGATGGAAATTCAGAGTAAAGTTATGACAAAAAATAAGACCTCACGATGCATACATAAGGCCACTAAGCATAACATTATAAATTTAGTAGAAGACGGTTAAGTCAGTCTAAATACCAGTATAAACCTATATAGTTTATTTAATGTGTCATTTGAGGTGCTATTTTTACATCCTCTTTTGTTGTGATGAAGTTCACAGGTCATTATGCTATGAACTGTTAAGAGAGATTCAGGCTGAAACATCGGAAAAGTTAGTAATCTCTTTTTCTGCTATGCAGAGTAAAATGACGTGAGCGCGCCTACGTTAGTGGATTCTTCTACCTCACAGCATAGCTTCTCTCAGACATTTGGGGGGGACCTGCCAGAATTACTCCTATTACTTGCTTGTCTCTTCATTCCCAGAGTGGAAAGTCATTCAAATCTAAAAGTACATACGTTATGTTTCATGCACTGTTCCTTACAGCCCTTGTTGTTTCTACTTGTTCCTCAGCATTCCTCAGTCCTCAGTATTCATCTTCTACCATCTGATGAAAAAAAACCTCCTTTGGTAGAACAGTGCAGCTGTATGCTGATTTTTTCCCCTTTGAACACTGTTAATAAGCTGAATTGTGTGTCAATGTCTGTTCTGTATAGGCTGTTCATATATCTATACTGGTCAACTAAGAGAGCAACCATTATAATAATTACACAAAGCTCTTTGATTTAAGATCTTAGAGTTGATTTTGGCTGTGGTCCATATGGTTATTGATTGATGCTCACGGTGTCTTTCATATATTATTTTGTCTCTTCTCCTTTTCTTTCCCTTACTTTGCAGGCAGGGAATGCTACCTGATTTTAAAGAACTAAGTCTTCTAGGTCCTATTTGTGCCTTTATCACATTCTCAAAATATAGCTTCACTGTGACCTGATTTATTGACTGATAAAACACCTGCCTTAGATGTTAGGAAGAAGCAAGGGAGTATCTTATTTCTTTGCAGTCTGTATCAAAAAGTGAAAGTCTTTCTTTTTACCATCTTCTGATACTATATGAGAAGAGCCATCACAAGCCAGATCAGTGTTCTGTGGTCTTGCATCTGAAGGAGCCCAGGGATGGATTACTAGGGAGGGAATACAAAAAGCAGGACAGTGCCCACCTTCTAACATTTGGTGCTTTAGAGATTTCCTGAGCTAGTGGTTGCATCTAGACCACGTGTTTACTGTCTACTGATGGACTGCCCTCATAATTTGTTATACTGGGGAGGTTGTATTAGGGCTGTATCATGCTGGGTGCTTCTAGAATAAATGTTTCTTGAGTTATGAAGTTACTGGTTTAATAGTAATAATGTGTCTGAACTCTGTTGAAACTTCTTCTCTGGCGGTCAGTCCTCTTCCCGATTTCTAATCTAAAATAACATTCTTCATGTCTCTGCCAAAAGCAGTCCTTTCTAAATGGAAAAATTTAGCACACTTTCCTTGATTTTCCCTTATAACCTTGTAGACTCGCAACTTATTGTCCTTTGTTCCTAAGTGCTGTCTGTGTCAATCAAATGGGCAATGCTGAACAACCATCAGCTATCTGGGTAAAACCCTTGTTTGCTTTGTAGCCATTGTACTATTTCAGATGACAAGAAATGTTTTAAATTGAATACACATCTCATTGGAATTAACCCGATGGATGGAGGTTTCTAGATGTGTACTGCTCACAGCAGGAAGGAAATTAATTTTTCAGATACATCCATGTGTTTTTGTTTTTAGGATATATAAGGCTTTTGCGATGGAAGCAGGTTTTGGGGGGTTCCATTTGTACCTGAGGCCCATGCACTTTGAATCTACATCTCACAGGGAGAAAGCAGACCACGTCCCACCAATGTTCATTACATCTCTCCTGGAAGATGACAGCTATGTTGACAGGTAGACTGGCCTTTTTTGTGTTTCTCTTTAGGTTAGATGGGACCAAGTCTTTAGTCTGCTTAGACTCACATACAAGCCACAAAAACTTCTGTATGTAAAATGCATAAAATTATTCAGGCAGAAAATGGAAAATGCTGCATGGTTTGTTTCCTTTTTGTATGGACTCTGAGACTGAATAGTGCTGATTTAAAGCTGTTGAGCAGTGAAAGCATGGAGACTCTGAATTTGTGTGTAATGCCGGCAATTTTGGAACTCAAGTACATTTTCTTTCAAAGCAAGGGCAGCCTAATGGGGTGGGGCTGAAAGTGATTGTCCCAAACCTCACCAGTAGCAAAACAGGACCTCAAAAACTCATGTGAATAAAGTCCTTATTCTGAGCACGAAGAAAGCTTTTTCTCCTGCAGTTATGCTACACTTCATGAAGTGGCATCTTTGATGTTTTTTTTCAACTCAGTGACTAGTAGACTCAATCTCTGCACAAGGAAAAGGCTATTTATTATCTTACCTTTTCCCCTGGGGAAAGGGAATGGAACAAGTAGATTTTGCAGTCGCCTTGATTTACTCTTTAAAGAGTTGGTAAATATGTGCGTATATACACACACAAAAATCCACTGGTTTGTGTATGTGTTCGTGTGTATTTTCAATCAAGGTTTAGGAGGAAGAAAGGAAACAACCTGTGAATATCTTACTAGATTCAGGGAGGGCATCCTGTCTGTCGTTCCCTATGGCTAACGTGGGTCGTAGGGCTCCCTTCTGACCTGTACATATACCGCCTGCAGTCCCGTGCTGTTGTTTGCATCCTATTCACTTGCATACACTTCTAGCCTGCTGTGAAAATTGGGTTGTTCCAAACAAGTTTAGCAATTGCAAACAACCCAAAATGGATATCAGAGCCCGTAAGACAGTACAGCAGCACAAAAAAAACCACATTAGGAACCAATATTTGAAACAAGGCATGATTAAACTGAACAAGCAGATTTTTCACTGGTTTAGACCAAGCTCATCTATGAGGAGCTAATGAGTCATGGTAAAGTCAACCACAAAACTTCACAAGAATATATTATTTTTCTTACAAAACTACTTCTGAAAATTAAAGCAAGGCCTAATATCACTAAATTAGGGACTAGAGTGACCAATGCCATTATGTGTTCTAAATTTAAAGGCAGAAAGAAATGAAAAGTATTTCTGAATTTGTCACTGTTTCCCTTTCATCCTCAGTTTGGCTTTTTTCTGTCTCATACTCCATTTTATAGATAATTTTGCTTTTATTGCAGATATATTCCATCTACCTTACCATTAAGCATTCAAGAAATCGACAGTCATATTGGAAAGTTTAGTTTCCGTATGAGAGATGGTGTTACACAGGTGAATGATTTAATTTGCAGAATAAGCAAAAAAATGTGTATTATGTTATTACTTATTTGCTAGAGTATTTAAAGGGCTCAGTCATGTATTTACTAGACACTATAAACTACTGTTTGTCTTTCTCTGAGTGATAATATAATTTAGTCCACTGTTTTATAATTAACTTCATGAAATTGGACTGAAAATTTGATTGTCAATGTGGCCTGATCCAGGAATCCTTACTGGGATGAAACTCTTTAAGTCAGCAGAGTTTATTCTGAGGAACTTTGTTAAAAAAAGCAAGATCCCTGAGTGTGGCTCTATGCACCCATAGTAACAACATTTGATGTAGAGAGTTCTGTAATGAAAGAAAACTACCTTAGTCTTCAATGCTGTTTTGCATATTTAGTCCTTTCCTCTTTGTATAAGTGTATTAAAACAGTATCACAGACTGCCAGGCTGTGGAGATTTCTTCTTTAAAGCTCTCTGCAAAGTCTTTTTCTTGCCATCAACTCAGTCATGACCTGTACTCTGCAGCAGGGTGGCATGTAATTACAAAATTGCCAAGGAGAACCAAATATGTTTTATTTGTTATCTTACTCCTTTCCCAGCCTGTTTGCACTTGGCTACACTGTCTGGCACCGTCCTGCTCTACAAAGCAGAGCTGAGAATACAACTCTCTAAATACAAATGAATGAAATGTTTCCTTGATCTCTACATTCAGTCATGTTTCAATGATAACAATGTATACAAATACAACAGAATGCTCTCTCTTACCCCTCGTTTCATTAAATTAAGCTGCTAAAGTAGTACAAGACAGAGAGCGATGTCTGTAATGCAACCTTAGGCAGAGGAAATGCCTAACACGTTGTTTTCCCTCTCCTTAGCTCTTGTGTCCATCTGGAATAAGGAACATGCACCTTATCCTGGCCTGTCAGGTCACTCAGAAAAATGCTCTTTGGCAGCTGTTCAGCGAGCCTCCTTTTGTTACTTGGCCCAACCTGCCCATACCCTGGATGTAAAGGTTAGCAGCATCTTTTTCCTCACATTGCACTAGTAGTGGGTTTTGTCAGACTCAGCCCAAAGAGGGTATCTGTTAATTCTGCTTATAATCAATTGGATGGCAGTTCTGCGCAACACTTGGAACAGCATCACTGATGACTGCAGGAACTGCAGGGATTGTGTATTAGCGTATGACGTAAAAATAAATGGTGTTGCATCAGTGATTTATTTAAAGTCTGTTAGCTGGGTAAGTGATGGAGCATAGCTAAAAATATACCTCAAGAGAGGACTGAAGGAGGTTGGAGATTAATTAGATTCAGAAGGCACAGGTGAAATCTTAAAGCTTGTGGTATGCAGTAAGGCTAGTGATCACAACCTGACCATGAAATATGCACTGTTCTGGGATGGCAAAACCATCAGTTCCTGCTGCTTTCATTCGTCCTGTCTCCTGAAAACAAAATGATTCTAATGGCAAACATTCGTGTCAGCCTCATGCCATAACGTTGGTTCAAAAGCTGCCTGCCAGGGTCACCAAGCCATTACTGTTCCTCATCTTATATTTGGTGCTTTTTTTCATCGCATGTTTAATATATGGCGCTTAGGAGCTGCCCTTGTGTCACACATGCTAAATCGTTGTAGGGCTCTGTGTTGCATTTTCTTATGCTGCTGTTGTGTGTCTTCCAGAGACAGCTGCATTACAGTGATGAGCCAAGTGACCTCATACGCAATTTTGAATTTAAAAGAAAATACAGATTCTTTAGGGCTCATCTTGTCCTCTCTGTGCTTATATTGACATCTCTTTCTGTGTTCCTTAGGACACCCCATCCATCCCTCCCCCCCTCAGCCCTCTCTTGCATCCCCAATGCTCCCCAAGCTCAGTCCCTTGCCACCCAGCAGTATCCTCAGCTCATTCCTGCATATGGGAAGTGCCCATGTTTTGCTGTCTGGCTGGGCAAGAAGCACTTTGTTTTGCAGCAGGTTTGTAGCCGTGCATGTGCTGACTGCCTGGCTGTCACGCTGGGAGCCCAGCTGGCCACTGCCTCGTGGGAGCTGAGCAAGCCAAGCAGAAGGACTAGAGATCAAACTCTCCCTCTCCTCACTAGCTGAATGCTGATTTTGCAAAACTGGAAGGACCTTTATACCCGTGGGACCTCTGTTCTTCAGTCAAATGTATTTAAAATTAGTCAGAGCGTTCAGAAGTTGTTAGAAATGGGCTGAGCCAGCTAAGGGAATGAGGCTAAAACATGTCCTGTGTGACAACAGTTTCTTTCTGAGTTTAAAAATGAAAAATAGACGTTGTTGTGAATCCCCATTGTCTCATTTTGGGTCACTCAGAGCTGCAGTGTGGGGACGGGAGGAAAAGATGTCTCATGCAGCTGCGACTTGCAGGCTCCTGAGCATGAATTGCCATTCGTAGAGCAGTGTCCTGTACACTTTCTTTCCTTACACTGGAAGTGAATGTAAGGAAGCTCCTAGGGCCAACACTCACCCCAGAGACTGTCAACTGCACTACAACAAACTTGTTTCACCATTGCATGGTTTGCATCCTGTCCCAGCAGGACACCATACAGCTGAGATCCACTGGCCCAAACAAACTGGTATCCTGATGGCCCACCAGCAAAAACCCGTGTCATGCAGTCAGAGCTGCCTGCTTGCTGCTGAGCAGGAAGCCTTCGCACCACTGATCTCATGCAACTTTTGGCAGCACCTGGGCCATGTCCCAGGGAGCTGTCTCACTCTTTGGCTGCTCAGTGGATGCCCAGGTGTTGGCAGCTGGATGGCCAGCTGTGCAGCCTCCCAGGCCTGGCTGGACCAGCAAGCACCAGAGAGACCACAGTCTAGTTCGTCCCAGAGGCTGGTTTCCTTTCCCTCTCACTGAGAAGCCTGAGATTCCTCATCTTCACTTCTAATCAGATCCTGCAGCACTGAAATCCTTGGTGGAACTGAGCAAGCCTGGTTTCTTTCCCAAATCGATCCTCTGCACTGCCATACAAAGCACTGCTGTCATCTCTCTCGCTGATAACCATGAGTAGTGTTACTCTGGAAGTAGGTTTTCATCCCCCAGTTGAAAAGGATTGATCTTCCAAACATTTGGCGTTCTTTTACTGTCTAAGTGCTGAATGGTTTCTTTTCCACAGAATGGCAGCAACTGTATTTTTCATCTTCCGGTGTCTCCTCTCCTCTGTAAATCATTTAATGGCTGCTGCATCCATTCTGGATCAGTCTTTGATTTGCAGGAGAATTAGTGTGCTTCCTGAGTTCCCCTGGACTTCAAAGCACCTGTGCCACTTTTGAAATATGAATTCAAGAACTTGGAAAAGTACCGCTTGTTCCTACTTGAAAATTAGGATTATTTTTATATACATATGCAGAAATTTCTGAGGTTTCTTCGTAACAGGAGCCACTAGGACTTATATAGGCGGTGTGGGGAGATGAGTGTAGTTTTTTGTGTTCGTGGGGAGGCAAAATGATTTTCCAGACAAGTGATCTAGATATATAATTATTTGTATATATTGGAAAATGTGAAGATCTGGGAATATTCATATTTTATTTGCAGCTGACTGAATGTCGAGAATGTTCTCTGACTTATAAATTGGGTACTACCTCTGACTCTGCTGCCACTAAAATTTCATTATGCCTGTGCTCAATGAGAAATGTTTTTTTTCTGCGACTTTCAGTGATCCCAGTGAATTATTATATCATAAAGCTAGGGCAAATGAAAGCATACAGAATTGCAAATCTACATTGATTTAGTAGGAAGAGCTGCCAGTCTTTACGAGAGCAAGCACAGAATTGATATTCATGATATTTTAGGAAGGAAATGTAAGTCTAACAAGTCGGAGCAGTTCAGCAAGTTGAAGAAGTTCAGTGTCTGGGAGGAAAAGAGAGGATCAGCTGCTGCAAGCAACAACAACAGCCACTTCATTCTCTCCTGGGCATTCTTCAGGTTTACTCTGTCCCATTAAAAGGTATTTGTTACAGGCTGGCCAAGCCCCCTCCACCGGGTAGGGGTCAGTCTGGCACACACATGAATCCCAAGCACTATCTGTTTTACATTGTGCTGGGCCTCTGATGTGACAAAACACAGCGATGGGCTCTCGATTGTAAGGGCATGTTCCCAGGCACCCTGGCTCCTGGTGTGAACTGGAGGTCTGAGAGTGGTCAAATCCTGGGGAAATAACCTGTTATTTAAAGGAGGAAATCCAGGTGTCCTCTAGGAGTTTCTAAACAGGAAGTTTACAGTTGAAAATATGGCAAAATTCTGAGAAATTATAAGTGGGTCAGGATATGGCCATTAACCAGAGTTTTGCTCCTCCTGTAGAACAGAGCTTGGTCTTGGTGCTCGTATGCCCACTTATTAGTTCCTTGGCCTGGTTTCACGGCTTTTACTTGGGGTACTGCGTACTAACAGGGTACTGACAAGACCCAGTTAGGGCAACTTTTTTTATTACTCAGTGATGATCAGCTGGAGGTCAAGCACTGAAAACTGCATTAATTGAACAACACATGGTTTGAATGGACAAATAAAAAAGCATTCAACATGTCCAGCTTAGCCCAGGCAGCCTCATGGTTCCTGTTACTGCCAAAATGCCCGTATGAGGAGGTACATTATTTTTTTAGTTTGTCACTATTTCTTTTGCCGTTTATTTCAATTGCGCTAAAATTAAAAATACACAGACTGGGAGACTGTCCCCAGAGAGACACTCTTGAGAGGTGATTCTTCTCAGCTCCCACACTTTTTTTTTCCCTCATTAGGCTTCCAGAAGCTTTTGTTTCCATTCAGCTGGAGAAATGGGGGCCCCGAGATACGATGCTGAGCACTTTCACTCAAAAGAGAGAAGCACTGGGCAGCAGGCTGCAAAACCCTGTAAGTACATCAGGAGGCTCCTCAGCATCTTTGAGAGGGACTGTTGGTTTTTGGCACGTAGGCAAAGTGGTAGCTTTGAGTTAGCATTGTACTTACTCTGTGGTTACTTCAGGGAGAAAAGTAACCCAGTGGCAGGTGTGGAAACTCTGGCGGAGGGCAGGAGGCTGGGACATAGTCAGGATGTGCAGGTCAGGCACTGGGCTGCAGACGGTGACTAGCAGTGCTGGGAGACCCAGGTGAACCTTCTTCCACCATGCTGTCTCCCTGTAGTCTCCCACGGGCACAGCTGCAAGGCTCATGATGGAGAGGTGCATGGAAAACAGCAGCAGTCTGCAGACACGCAGCTAACTAATGGTTGAGGATGCTAACAGGCATTGCTCCTAAACTATTTCCAGCCTAGGTAAGGCAATAAATTCTGGCTGTACTTACTGTGTTAGGTACAGAATTGTTCTGGGCTTTTATGTATGAAGCATCAAACAGTGGTCCTAGCTAAAGACAAAACACTATGTAAGGAAGGCTCATTTAATAAATACTTCTAGCAGGTTTTGTTTTTTTTTTTAATTTTACAAGAAGATGAGTCATAAAAATAATAATTGTAAAGATACAATGATGGGTATATAGATTTTGCCTTTTGCAAAATTCTTCTTTATCCAGTGTCTGGATAAAGGCGAGAACATGGATCCTGTATTAAACTGCTTGTGATTCTGCATCTTGTGCTGAATACATTACAAGTTAGGCAAGGCCTTTAAGAAATTACCAGGTAGTAAAAAGCAAACTCCTTCTACACAAACCCTTAATGGCTATTCTGGTTTTGAAATAGTCAGCATAAATTATTTTTTTAAATGTACTTATAAGCTTCTTGCCAGCTCAGTAGGCTATATGAGTGTATAAAGAAATAACTGCTAGCTGCAGACTCTTTTGGGAAATATTACAGAATTTGTGAACTAAATTATATGAACCAGACTTGAATAAAATAATTCTGAATTTATTTACAAGACTGCCTTAACTGTCTACTGGGTCTGGTATACTGGTTGAAATTTTTTCTTGATGTTTATCCTCCTTAAAGTTTTGGAATTTCATAGTTTAGATATCTGTAACACTGTATGTAATCTGGAGGGGTTTTTAAGATTATATTAATAGAAAAAGTTACAA